ACTGTGCAATTGAAGATTTCTTGCTATTGCGCAATACTGTGCAATTGAAGATTTCTTGCTATTGTGCAATACTGTGCAATTGAAAATTTCTTGCTATTGCACAATACTTATTATATAATAATTTACACGTCCTGTTTGGTGTGTATCTCCTACAATATCATTATTATTTGATTTTAAATATAAATCAGAAATAACCAACTTAAAATGGAAAATTTTAAAAGAAACAAAAAAGGAAAAAAAGAAAAATAAAATGCTTCGCTGGGCGCAGCTTGATACGACCGCAGAGGTCGAACCCTGAACAGTTGGGGCAAGTATGGACACAACATTCAAGCTTGATACAGCTCTGAATTTGGATTGTGATTAAATATTTGACACAGCATAGGTTTCTGACACAGAAAGAATGTGGTCTAAGAACTTCAATTTTTTTAATTTACCTATTATGGTCCAATGTCCAAAATCAAAATACATGGTTAGATTCAGCATATCAAAGAACCCCATATATTCAATTTTTGTTGAAATCAAACAAAGTTTAATTTTGGACCCCAACTTGGACAAACTTGAAAACTGGTCCCATAATCAAAAATCTAAACACATGTTTAGATTCAGCATATCAAAGTACCCGAAGAATTCAATTTTTGTTAAAATCAAACTAATTTTAATTTTGGACCCTTTGGACCTTAATGTAGACAAATTTAAAAAGCGGGACCCAAAATTAAAAATCTAAAAACACGGTTAGATTTGGCATATCAAAGAACCCCAATAATTCAATTTGATGAAATCAAACAAAGTTTAATTTTGGACCCTTTTGACCTCAATATGAACCAATTTGATAGCGGGCCCACAAATAAAAAATCTAAATACATGGTAAGATTCAGCATATCAAAGAACCCTATATATTCAATTTTTGTTGAAATCAAACAAAGTTTAATTTTGGACCCCAATTTGGACCAACTTGAAAACTGGGCCAAAAATCTAAAATCTAAATACATGTTTAGATTCAGCATATCAAAGAACCCCATATATTCAATTTTTGTTGAAATCAAACAAAGTTTAATTTTGGACCCCAACTTGGACCAACTTGAAAACTGGTCCCATAATCAAAAATCTAAACACATGTTTAGATTCAGCATATCAAAGAACCTAAAAAATTCAATTTTTGTTAAAATCAAACTAAGTTTAATTTTGGACCCTTTGGACCTTAATGTAGACCAATTTAAAAAACAGGACCCAAAATTAAAAATCTAAATACACGGTTAGATTTGGCATATCAAAGAACCCCAATAATTCAATTTTTGATGAAATCAAACAAAGTTTAATTTTGGACCCTTTTGACCTCAATATGAACCAATTTGATAGCGGGCCCACAAATAAAAAATCTAAATACATGGTAAGATTCAGCATATCAAAGAACCCCATATATTCAATTTTTGTTGAAATCAAACAAAGTTTAATTTTGGACCCCATTTTGGACCAACTTGAAAACTGGGCCAAAAATCTAAAATCTAAATACATGTTTAGATTCAGCATATCAAAGAACCCCATATATTCAATTTTTGTTGAAATCAAACAAAGTTTAATTTTGGACCCCAACTTGGACCAACTTGAAAACTGGTCCCATAATCAAAAATCTAAACACATGTTTAGATTCAGCATATCAAAGAACCTAAAAAATTCAATTTTTGTTAAAATCAAACTAAGTTTAATTTTGGACCCTTTGGACCTTAATGTAGACCAATTTAAAAAACAGGACCCAAAATTAAAAATCTAAATACACGGTTAGATTTGGCATATCAAAGAACCCCAATAATTCAATTTTTGATGAAATCAAACAAAGTTTAATTTTGGACCCTTTTGACCTCAATATGAACCAATTTGATAGCGGGCCCACAAATAAAAAATCAAAATACATGGTAAGATTCAGCATATCAAAGAACCCCATATATTCAATTTTTGTTGAAATCAAACAAAGTTTAATTTTGGACCCCATTTTGGACCAACTTGAAAACTGGGCCAAAAATCTAAAATCTAAATACATGTTTAGATTCAGCATATCAAAGAACCCCATATATTCAATTTTTGTTGAAATCAAACAAAGTTTAATTTTGGACCCCAACTTGGACAAACTTGAAAACTGGTCCCATAATCAAAAATCTAAACACATGTTTAGATTCAGCATATCAAAGTACCCGAAGAATTCAATTTTTGTTAAAATCAAACTAATTTTAATTTTGGACCCTTTGGACCTTAATGTAGACAAATTTAAAAAGCGGGACCCAAAATTAAAAATCTAAAAACACGGTTAGATTTGGCATATCAAAGAACCCCAATAATTCAATTTGATGAAATCAAACAAAGTTTAATTTTGGACCCTTTTGACCTCAATATGAACCAATTTGATAGCGGGCCCACAAATAAAAAATCTAAATACATGGTAAGATTCAGCATATCAAAGAACCCTATATATTCAATTTTTGTTGAAATCAAACAAAGTTTAATTTTGGACCCCAATTTGGACCAACTTGAAAACTGGGCCAAAAATCTAAAATCTAAATACATGTTTAGATTCAGCATATCAAAGAACCCCATATATTCAATTTTTGTTGAAATCAAACAAAGTTTAATTTTGGACCCCAACTTGGACCAACTTGAAAACTGGTCCCATAATCAAAAATCTAAACACATGTTTAGATTCAGCATATCAAAGAACCTAAAAAATTCAATTTTTGTTAAAATCAAACTAAGTTTAATTTTGGACCCTTTGGACCTTAATGTAGACCAATTTAAAAAACAGGACCCAAAATTAAAAATCTAAATACACGGTTAGATTTGGCATATCAAAGAACCCCAATAATTCAATTTTTGATGAAATCAAACAAAGTTTAATTTTGGACCCTTTTGACCTCAATATGAACCAATTTGATAGCGGGCCCACAAATAAAAAATCAAAATACATGGTAAGATTCAGCATATCAAAGAACCCCATATATTCAATTTTTGTTGAAATCAAACAAAGTTTAATTTTGGACCCCATTTTGGACCAACTTGAAAACTGGGCCAAAAATCTAAAATCTAAATACATGTTTAGATTCAGCATATCAAAGAACCCCATATATTCAATTTTTGTTGAAATCAAACAAAGTTTAATTTTGGACCCCAACTTGGACCAACTTGAAAACTGGGCCCATAATCAAAAATCTAAACACATGTTTAGATTCAGCATATCAAAGAACCCTAAGAATTCAATTTTTGTTAAAATCAAACTAAGTTTAATTTTGGTCCCTTTGGACCTTAATGTAGACCAATTTAAAAAACGGGACCCAAAATTAAAAATCTAAATACACGGTTAGATTCGGCATATCAAAGAACCCCAATAATTCAAATTTGATGAAATCAAACAAAGTTAAATTTTGGACCCTTTGGACCTCAATGTGGACCAATTTAAAAACGAGGCCCAAAATCCAAAAACTTAATACACGGTTAGATTCAGCATATTAAAGAACCCCAAGAATTCAAGAATAAAACCCCATTGAAATTGATCAAGAAATAAGCAATTTATACGAAGTATCTTCTTTTGCACAATACTGTGCAATTGAATATTTCTTGCTATTGCGCAATACTGTACAATTGACAATTTCTTGCTATTGCGCAATATTGTGCTATTGGATATTTCTTGTTATTGCGCAATACTGTTAAATTGAAGATTTCTTGCTATTGCGCAATACTGTGCAATTGAAGATTTCTTGCTATTGTGCAATACTGTGCAATTGAAAATTTCTTGCTATTGCACAATACTTATTATATAATAATTTACACATCCTGTTTGGTGTGTATCTCCTACCATATCATTATTATTTGCTTTTGAATATAAATCAGAAATAACCAACTTAAAATGGAAAATTTTAAAAGAAAAAAAAAAGGAAAAAAAGAAAAAAAAAAAAAAAAAATCCCCCCCCCAAATTTTTTGAACCCCCTTATGATTCATCACCCCCAAACTCAATCCCAGCCTTCCCTTTGTGGTATGGTACCTTGCAGTACAATTTCAGAGAGATCCATACACTTGAACACAAGTTATTGTCTGGAAACTAGAAAAATGCTTATTTTTGGCCCCTTTTTGGCCCCCAATTCCTAAACGTTTCGGGCAATTACCCCCAAACTCAATTCCAGCTTTCCCTTTGTGATATGGAACCTTGTAGTACAATTTCAGAAATATCCAAACACTTACACACAAGTTATTGTCATGAAACTAGAAAAATGCTTGTTTTTTGCCCCTTTTTTGGCCCCTAATTCCTAAAATTTTGAGGCAATTACCCCCAAAATCAATTACAGCCTTCCCTTTGTGATATGGAACCTTGTGGTACAATGTCAGAGAGATCCATACACTTACACACAAGTTATTGTCTGAAAGTTACAAAAATGCTTATTTTTGGCCCCTTTTTGGCCCCTAATTCCTTAACTGTTGGTACCATAACCCCCAAAATCAATCCCAACCTTCCTTTCGTGGTATTGAACCTTATGGTGAAATTTCATGGAGATCCATTCACTTAAACTAAAGTTAGAGTGCGAAAACCAATGTGTCTTCGGACGACGCCGACGACGACGCCGGACGACGACGATGACGACGACGCCAACGTCATACCAATATACGACCAAAAAATTTTTAATTTTTGCGGTCGTATAAAAGGAAAAAAAAATAAATCCCCCCCCAAAATTTTTTGAACCCCCATTATGATTCATCACCCCCTAACTCAATCCCAGCCTTCCCTTTGTGGTATGGTACCTTGCAGTACAATTTCAGGGAGATCCATACACTTGAACACAAGTTATTGTCTGGAAACTAGAAAAAAATGTGTTTTTTGGCCCCTTTTTGGCCCCAAATTCCTAAACGTTTAGGGCAATTACCCCCAAACTCAAACCCAGCTTTCCCTTTGTGATATGGAACCTTGTAGTACAATTTCAGAAAGATCCATACACTTACACACAAGTTATTGTCATGAAACTAGAAAAATGCTTGTTTTTTGCCCCTTTTTTGGCCCCTAATTCCTAAAATTTGGAGGCAATTACCCCCAAAATCAATCCCAGCATTCCTTTAGTGATATGGAACCTTGTGGTACAATGTCAGAGAGATCCATACACTTACACACAAGTTATGTCTGGAAGTTACAAAAATTGTATTACCATAACCCCCAAAATCAATCCCAACCTTCCTTTTGTGGTATTGAACCTTGTGGTAAAATTTCATAAAGATCCATTCACTTAAACTAAAGTAAGAGTGCCAAAACCAATGTGTCTTCGGACGACGCCGGACGACGACGACGACGACGCCAACGTCATACCAATATACGACCACAAAAATTTTTTTGCGGTCGTATAAAAACTTAACACTGAGCAATGAACCTTGAAAATGAGGTCAAGGTCAAATAAAACCTGCGTGACTGCCAAATAGATCATAAAATATTTCCATACACCAAATATAGTTGAACTATTGCATATAGTATAAGAAAAACAGACCAAAACACAAAAACTTAACTATAACCACTGAACCATGAAAATGAGGTCAAGGTCAGATAACACCTGCCAGTTGGACATGTACATCTTACAGTCCTTCCATACACCAAATATACTAGACCTATTGCTTATAGTATCTGAGATATGGACTTGACCACCAAAACTTAACCTTGTTCATTGATCCATGAAATGAGGTCGAGGTCAAGTGAAAACTGTCTGACGGGCATGAGGACCTTGCAAGGTACGCACATACCAAATATAGTTGAATTATTGCACATAGTATTAGAAAAAAAGACCAAAACTCAAAAACTTAACTTTGACCACTGAACCATGGAAATGAGGTCAAGGTCAAATAACACCTGCCCGCTAGACATGTACACCTTACAATCATTCCATACACCAAATATAGTAGACCTATGGCATACAGTATAAGAAAAACAGACCAAAACACAAAAACTTAACTATAACCACTGAACCATGAAAATGAGGTCAAGGTCAGATGACACCTGCCAGTTGGACATGTACACCTTACAGTCCTTCCATACACCGAATATACTAGACCTATTGCTTATAGTATCTGAGATATGGACTTGACCACCAAAACTAAACCTTGTTCATTGATCCATGAAATGAGGTCGAGGTCAAGTGAAAACTGTCTGACGGTCATGAGGACCTTGCAAGGTACGCACATACCAAATATAGTTGAACTATTGCACATAGTATTAGAAAAAAAGACCAAAACTCAAAAACTTAATACCAAATATAGTTATCCTATTACTTATAATAAGAGAGAATCTAACATTTCAAAAAATCTTAACTTTTTTTTCAAGTAGTCACTGAACCATGAAAATGAGGTCAAGGACATTGGACATGTGACTGACGGAAACTTCGTAACATGAGGCATCCATATACAAAATATGAAGCATCCAGACCTTCCACCTTCTAAAATATAAAGCTTTTAAGAAGTTAGCTAACGCCGCCGCCGCCGCCGCATCACTATCCCTATGTCAAGCTTTCTGCGACAAAAGTCGCAGGCTCGACAAAAACGGGACCCAAAATTAAAAATCTAAAAACATGGTAAGATTTGGCATATCAAAGAACCCCAATAATTCAATTTTTGATGAAATCAAACAAAGTTTAATTTTGGACCCTTTTGACCTCAATATGAACCAATTTGATAGCAGGCCCACAAATAAAAAATCTAAATACATGGTTAGATTTGGCATATCAAAGAACCCCAATAATTCAATTTTTGATGAAATCAAACGAAGTTTAATTTTGGACCCTTTTGACCTCAATATGAACCAATTTGATAGCGGAGTCCACAAATAAAAAATCTAAATACATGGTTAGATTCAGCATATCAAAGAACCCCATATATTCATTTTTTGTTGAAATCAAACAAAGTTTAATTTTGGACCCCAATTTGGACCAACTTGAAAACTGGGCCAAAAATCGAAAATCAAAATACATGTTTAGATTCAGCATATCAAAGAACCCCATATATTCAATTTTTGTTGAAATCAAACAAAGTTTAATTTTGGACCCCAACTTGGACCAACTTGAAAACTGGGCCCATAATCAAATATCTAAACACATGTTTAGATTCAGCATATCAAAGAACTCCAAGAATCCAATTTTTGTTAAAATCAAACTAAGTTTAAGTTTGGACCCTTTGGACCTTAATGTAGACCAATTTAAATATAATGCTCTGCTGGGGCGCAGCTTGATACGACCGCAGAGGTCGAACCCTGAACAGTTGGGGCAAATTTGGACACAACATTCAAGCTTGATACAGCACTGAATTTGGATTGTAATTAAATATTTGACACAGCATAGGTTTCTGACACAGAATGAAAGTGGTCTAAGAACTTAAAAATTTTTAATTTACCTATTCAAACCATATCATTATTATTTGCTTTTATATATAAATCAGAAATAACCAATTTAAAATGGAAAATTTTAAAGAAAAAAAAAGAAAAAAAAAAAAACCCAAATTTTTTGAACCCCCTTATGATTCATCACCCCAAACTCAATCCCAGCCTTCCCTTTGTGGTATGGTACCTTGCAGTACAATTTTAGAGAGATCCATACACTTGAAAACAAGTTATTATCTGGAAACTAAAAAAATGCTTGTTTTTTGGCCCCTTTTTGGCCCCAAATTCCTAAATGTTTAGGGCAATTACCCCCAAATTCCTAAACGTTTAGGGCAATTACCCCCAAACTAAAACCCAGCTTTCCCTTTGTGATATGGAACCTTGCAGTACAATTTCATAAAGATCCATACACTTACACACAAGTTATTGTCCTGAAACTAGAAAAATGCTTGTTTTTTTGCCCTTTTATGGCCCCTAATTACTAAAATTTTGAGGGAATTACCCCCAAAATCAATCCCAGCCTTCCCTTTGTGGTATGGTACCTTGCAGTACAATTTCAGAGAGATCCATACACTTGAACACAAGTTATTGTCTGGAAACTAGAAAAATGCTTATTTTTGGCCCCTTTTTCCTAAAATATTTGGGCAATTACCCCCAAACTCAATTCCAGCTTTCCCTTTGTGATATGGAACCTTGTAGTACAATTTCATAAGGATCCATACACTTACACACAAGTTATTGTCATGAAACTAGAAAAATGCTTGTTTTTTGCCCCTTTTTGGCCCCTAATTCCTAAAATTTGGAGGCAATTACCCCCAAAATCAATCCCAGCATTCCCTTTGTGATATGGAACCTTGTGATACAATGTCAGAGAGATCCATAGACTTACACACAAGTTATTGACATGAAACTAGAAAAATGCTTGTTTTTTGCCCCTTTTTGGCCCCGTATTCCTAAAATTTGAAGGCAATTACCCCCAAAATCAATCCCAGCATTCCCTTTGTGATATGGAACCTTGTGGTACAATGTCAGAGAGATCCATACACTTACACACAAGTTATGTCTGGAAGTTACAAAAATGCTTATTTTTGGCCCCTTTTTGGCCCCTTATTCCTTAACTGTTGGTACCATAACCCCCAAAATCAATCCCCACCTTCCTTTTGTGGTATTGAACCTTATGGTAAAATTTCATTTAGATCCATTCACTTAAACTAAAGTTAGAGTGCGAAAACTAATGTGTCTTCGGAAGACGACGACGACGCCGCCAACGTCATACCAATATACGACCACAAAAATTTTTTTGCAGTCGTATAAAAACAGGACCCAAAATTAAAAATCTAAATACATGGTAAGATTTGGCATATCAAAGAACCCCAATAATTCAATTTTTGATGAAATCAAACGAAGTTTAATTTTGGACCCTTTTGACCTCAATATGAACCAATTTGATAGCGGGGTCCACAAATAAAAAATCTAAATACATGGTTAGATTCAGCATATCAAAGAACCCCATATATTCAATTTTTGTTGAAATCAAACAAAGTTTAATATAGGACCCCAATTTGGACCAACTTGAAAACTGGGCCAAAAATCAATAAATCTAAATACATGTTTAGATTCAGCATATCAAAGAACCCCATATATTAAATTTTTGTTAAAATCAAACAAAGTTTAATTTTGGACCCTTTGGACCTTAATGTAGACCAATTTGAAAACTGGACCCAAAATTAAAAATCTAAATACACGGTTAGATTCGGCATAACAAATAAATAAATGTGATCAAAGATTTTACAAATCTAATGCGCCATACTGTGCAATTAAAGACTTCTTGAAATTTTTCAATATTTGAAATTTGAAAAAAAAATAATATTTGAAGAATAATTCTTTTTAATTTCTGAAATCTGAAATGAGAAAAGAATTGACCCCCCACAATTTCTTTATACCCCACCCCCCCCCCCCCCCCCCTCCCCCCTTTTTCCTCAAAAAATTCTTTCCCTCAAAATATGGTCATAATCTCAATTCAAATTTCCAATGGAGTTTGCAACCATAATTACCCATTTAAATTTACCATAGTGCTAACTTAATCTATTTTATAATAGAATTTAAAATATAGTGTCAAATCTTTCATATGGATTTTTTTGTAAAAAAAAAAGATGCAACATTTGCAGATATTTTTACTGGTCTTCCTTTATAAATATGCATTTCTTTAAACATAATTTAAAAGCAGTGTAAGGGAAGTAACCAAAACGTAGTATTTGGATTACCTCCCTTACACTGTTTTAAATTATCTTAATTGTTCATTAACCATTACTTAATACATAATTTAAAAGCAGTGTAAGGGAGATAATTTCAATGATGTATTTGATTTATCTCCCTTACACTGCTTTAAATTATGTTTTGTACTAAAATATTTGTCCATTAACCAGGACAACCTTGTTTTCCCCCCTTTTTCACCCTAATTCCTAAACGGTTTGAGCCATAACCCCCCCCCCAAGCTAATCCTAATCATCTCTTTGTGGTATGGAAACTTGTAGTATAATTTCAGAGAGATCCATACACAGTTCCACAGTTATTGTCTGGAAACTAGAAAATACTTATTTTTGGCCCCTTTTTTGGCCCCTAATTCCTTAACTGTTGGTACCATAACCCCCAAAATCAATCCCCACCTTCCTTTTGTGGTATTGAACCTTATGGTAAAATTTCAAAGAGATCCATTCACTTAAACTAAAGTTAGAGTGCGAAAACCAATGTGTCTTCAGACGACGACGACGGACGACGCCAATGTCATACCAATATACGACTGCAAAACTTTTTTGCGGTCATATGAAAAGTGTGGAAAACACTTTAACATTAGATATGATTAATAGTTCTCTAAAATTAGATATGATGTAATACAGTGTATATCTATTTTCAAATTATAATCAAATATAATTAATAGTTCCAAATATTTTTTCATTTATTTGTCACAAACTAATATAGATTTGTAACATATCTATAAAATGTCAACAATTTTTATCTACACAATATAATGTAATATACATTAATAAAAATAGATTATTATCTAATCAAAGGATTTCACTTCATAATTTTTTTACATATATAGCATTCTGCAAATTAGTTTATACAAAATAACAAACAAACCTGCCAAAAAATTCTTCAAATAATTTACCAAAGAATGTCTTTTAAAAAATCTCCCTTTGTACAGAAATATGGTTTAACATAGTACTCTTATATTAGATATGGTACAGAGTTATGGTCCATAACTCTGGACTAAATCATCAGACAAGAACAAAATTCCAACTTGATCTATAACTTGTCATGGCAAAACTATATACCAAATATCAAATCAATATCTTCAAGAACGATGAAAAAAAGTGTGGAAAACTGATTTGCTGGACTGACGGATGGACAGACGGACAGAGTGCAAACCTAAAGTCCCCTTCGACTTCGTCAAATATTATAATGAACAAGCATTCTGAGAGTATTGCATGGCAATACATAGTCCTCTAGTAGTAGGCCTACCGATTAAAAATTCATTGTACTGGAACAAAATGCTAACTTGAACTATAACTTGTCATGGTGTAAACTATAAAACAAATATCAAATCAATATCTTAGAGCATGACAAAATAAACTGCTTCGCTGAGCGCAGCTGGATACGCTCGCAGATGTCCAACCCTGATCAAGAGTTTGGGCAAAATTGACACAATATTCAACCTTGAAACAGGTCTGAATTTGGATTGTAATTAAATATTTGATATATTATAGCTTTCTGAATAAATGTAGTCAAAGAACTTGAAATTGGTTATATGAAAGATTTCTTGCTGTTGTGCAATACACTGTGCTGTTGCGCAATACTTAGTAAATCTGTTGTCAGACTATAAACAAATAAAATCTTATAACTCTGAAATATAAAATCAAAAATTTATAAAAAATCAAAAGGGAGCTTACAAAAATAGATATAAACAATTTACCAAAGTCTCATAAAAAATATAAAAAATAGTTTCAGCATTTTAGAGATATTGTCCGAAAACTGGAAAATCCCCCTTTTTGTAATGAATAAAACCCCATAACTCAAAAACACAAAATCTAAACTTGATAAAAATCAAAAGGGAGCTCATGTCAATAGATAAAAATAAAATGCTCTGCTGGGCGCAGCTTGATACGACTGCAGAGGTCGAACCCTGAACAGTTGGGGCAAGTATGGACACAACATTCAAGCTTGATACAGCACTGAATTTGTATTGTGATTAAATATTTGACACAGCATAGGTTTCTGACACAGAATGAATGCGGTCTAAGAACTCAAAAAATTTTAATTTACCTATTCAAACCATATCATTATTATTTACTTTTATATATAAATCAGAAATAACCAATTTAAAATGGAAAATTTTTAAGGAAAAAAAAATCCCCACCCCCAAATTTTTTTAACCCCCTAATGATTCATCACCCCCAAACTCAACCCCAGCCTTCCCTTTGTGGTATGGTACCTTGCAGTACAATTTCAGAGAGATCCATACACTTGAACACAAGTTATTGTCTGGAAACTAGAAAAATGCTTGTTTTTTGGCCCCTTTCTGGCCCCAAATTCCTGAATATTTAGGACAATTACCCCCAAACTCAAACCCAGCTTTCATTTTGTGAAATGGAACCTTGTAGTACAATTTCATAAAGATCCATACACTTACACACAAGTTATTGTACTGAAACTAGAAAAATGCTTGTTTTTTGCCCCTTTTTGGCCCCTAATTCCTAAACTTTTGAGGCAGTTACCCCCAAAATCAATCCCAGCCTTCCCTTTGTGTTATGGTACCTTGCAGTACAATTTCAGAGAGATCCATACACTTGAACACAAGTTGTTGTCTGGAAACTAGAAAGATTCTTATTTTTGGCCCCTTATTCCTTAACGTTTTGGGCAATTACCCCCAAACTCAATTCCAGCCTTCCTTTTGTGATATGGAACCTTGTAGTACAATTTCAGAAAGATACATAGACTTACACACAAGTTACATGTATTGTCATGAAACTAGAAAAATGCTTGTTTTTTGCCCCTTTTTTGGCCCCTAATTCCTAAAATTTTGAGGCAATTACCCCCAAAATCAATCCCAGCATTCCCTTTGTGATATGGAACCTTGTGGTACAATGTCAGAGAGATCCATACACTAACACACAAGTCATGTCTGGAAGTTACAAAAATGCTTATTTTTGGCCCCTAATTCCTTAACTGTTGGTACCATAACCCCCAAAATCAATCCCAACCTTCCTTTTGTGGTATTGAACCTTATGGTAAAATTTCATAGAGATCCATTTTACTTAAACTAAAGTTAAAGTGCGAAAACCAATGTGTCTTCGGACGACGACAACGCCACTGTCATACCAATATACGAGCGGTCGTATAAAAACGGCCGTTGTAGTTCATATTTCAGCACTTTTTTACATCAGTTATTAGATGTACCGCAACTGTTTCCAATAAGTGTTTACATCGGTTATCAGATGTACCCGCTGCCAACTTCTTATACTGGTTTACGGATTTATTATAAATAAACCAAAGCGGCGATCTACACGTGGCCTACTATATTTGTTCATAGAGCCATCCCTGGCAAACAATCGGCGATTGAACCCTACAATGGAGCAAACAAATACTGTAACGGCCAAGAAAGTGATTCAGATGATGAAATGGATAGTGAAGATGACTTTAAATAAGAATAATCAGAAGACCTGAACTGATCCTTCATTGTTAATTTGGTGCGAAGAATAAAACTAATATTAATACAGTTATTTTTGATAAAATATGTTATTAATTTTATTTCAGGATAAAATTGACAGATTTTGTAGGACTGGCTAAAATTTTGTAGGACTGACAATTAATCATGCTTTGTCGGTCCCATGACCGACGGGTCAAAATAAGTTTTCGCGAACTCTGAAATTCAGCAATTTTTCCATTTGTAAAGGGGCATAACTCTAGAACAGACAAAGTGACGCCATCAAAATTCAAACTTGATCTGTGTTTTGTGGTATTAAGCATTGTGTATAAGATTCATAACATTCGGTTGCAGAAAACCTAAGTTAGTGAACAGAAACACAAAATTCAGAAATTTTTCCATTTGTAAAGGGGCATACATGTAACTCTAGAAAGGTAAAAGTGATGCAACCCAAATTCAAAATGATCAAAACACTTGATCTGTGTTTTTTTGGTAATAAGCAATGTGCACAAGTTTCATAACATTAGGTTGAGGCAAACCAAAGTTTGAGAAATTTTGGAAACCAATTTCAGGATAAGGACGTACGGATGTACGGACGGACCTACATGTACAGACGGACAAGGGTAAAACTTATATAATCAGTTGTTTGCTGTTTTGAAGTTTTCTCAATATTTTATTAATTATGCTTGATTGGGTATCATTTAAAAAACTATGGTATAAATTATAAACAATACATCGTAACCTGTTTTTTTGTGTTAACCATTTTCAGTTAGTTTTCGATGTTTTATAATTAAAATAATTGGGATTAAACAAAGAAGCCATTACCCAAGCTACTGTTTAATCCACTTATGAGGAGAAAAACAAATTTAATCATTGTAATTTAAATTGTTTTTTTCTGGATTTCGTGTCTAAATGAAATGATTAACGTTGGCACCAATTTTGTATGTTTTTTAGCAATGCACAGTTGTCATGAAATGGAAGTTCCTTGGTAAGGCATTGTTTATATCAAAGTTTCCATTCGAATTTCTGTTATGCGTGACAAATATACGTTGACACCTTGAGCTAAAATATCTTAAAAAAGAAGGAAAAAACAGAGTCCTCAATAGTTTACCTGCAAAACATTTAATATTAATCATGGGTGCCGAAATAACTACTTTGAGTGCCAAATTAACCAGGTCCCGATTTGACTAGGTGCCGAATTGACAATACCGGGTGCTGATTTGACCAGGTGCTGAAGCGACTATAATTCAGAATCACAGGCTGCAACCAACCATCAACCTCAAACCCTAACAGGTCAAAATTCTTAACCCCAAACCCAGGCAGGTCAAATAATAACTCATGTATTCTTTCTACTTCTAGCCATGTCATCATATAGTAACCACTCAATATTTGGGTTACTTACAATCCAGATGTTTTTTCTTTGGCCCCATAACTTCTTCTGTAGTCGCTTTACATACAACCTTGGCCAACCCTTGGCCTGATAGGCTGTGTTTAGCCGCAGTCATACGATCTAAAATACTCTGTCCTGACATTTTTACTAACTATACTGTTAGAACACTCAGGATTCACTTAGGGTCTTCTCTGACCCAAATGAGTGTGTTGAAATGCTCTAAATACGCAAAAAGGGGTGGATACGGCGACCAATAATATTCAAGATGGCTGTTTCATTAATCAATCTCCGAAACAGAGGCGAGTAGATATTTTTGCTACATAGCCTACGCCGACATCACTAAAAAACGTATTAGCTTTTTTAAAAGCTTGTACTAAATTAGCCTCTGATGACAGTCACGTTACAGTCAGAAATTCGACGCTTTTCTCAAAGACTGGGACATTAGATTCTCTTATAGAATGAAACTTTAAAAAAAAAAATTGTAGGACGACATAATGATTAAATACTTTTTTTCAATTTTAGTAACTTAAATGAATCAGTGGAATAATTGATCATAACCTCGAGATCAGTCTCAGATTTAACCGGACAGTGGAGGCAAGGTCTTTGAATGTTTCAAAGTCAGCTTTAAATAATGAGAAATGGAACCCAAATAAGACACACCTATACAAGGTTTTATTCTTTATAATTATTTATACCAATCATGTAACGGGAATATATTTTCCCAAGTTCACGGAATAATGGATAAAAAAGAAATGCTTTCAAGCTAGAATAATTTATTCTACGTGAATAAAATACACATCAAGTTACAAATTGTAGCAATCAAATTTACAAGTATAATTTATATGTACGGCTAGAACAGTATCTCACTTAAATAAAGATAATTCAAAGATCAAGCAAGTTACGGACAGTAGATTCTGTCTTATTCCAATTGCTTTCCCGTTAAGTCTGACGTCATAATCTTCCGTGCAGCACGGGCCGGGCCACTGGGCCGGCCGGGACATCGAACGAGGGTGCCCCGGCCGGTCCTATTGGAAGTGGACCGACAAACCCAAATAGAAAAACGACCATAAAGCCGTGTAAAAGCTATTTCAATATAATAAACGTGACATAAAAGCAAATACCATTACATTAAGATGAACAATTATTGTCACAAACGGCTTGTGGCCCTGGTAACATGTCATATACCATAAATATAATAGCAATAAACGGACTAGTCCTTAAAGAACCTAAAGTAGCAAGTTTCATCGCCGGATCCTTACATTATAATTTAAAAAAATTCTTGAAACTGGAAACTGAAATACCAAATGATTTGAAACATGGAAATGTAGTCCCAGCTTTCCGAATAAAGGGGGGGTGTATAAACCCGTACATTACAGGCCAGTATCTTTAACCTGTACATAAGCTTGTAACCTCATGGAGCATATCATTACCGATCATTACCAGTAGTACAATGTCTGACATGTCTCACCAAGAAAAACAGCATATATTATACGATCTCTAGTCTGGGATTCAGGCTGGCTCACTGCTCGACGTGCTGATGCGAAGAGCAGGTTTTGCCAGGATCCCAGGCTATACGATCTCCAGTATGGTTTCAGAAAATCAAGGTCTTGTGAAACACAACTAATAGATTTTATTCAAGAATTGGCACACAACAACAGTAACACTTAAACTGACTTGATCATAATGTACTGTTCGCTAAAGCATTCGACAAAGTTTCACATCGTCGCCTCCTTTGTAAGCTAAACTTCTATGGTATTCAAAATGACACACTAAATTTTATCCAGGCATTTCTACATGACAGAACACAAACAGCCGTCATCAATGGCATTTCTTCCACCTTAGATACCAGGTGTACATCCGTTTATGACAATTTCACCGGATAGTTCGTATTTAAGACTTCGATTCAATCTGATTGATTATTTTAATATATTTATGCTAACAGAAACTCCACATATAGTATTGTGTTTATGTTTATTGTTTGTTTTTATACATATACTTTGCTAAATACAAATACTAGCATATGGATCAAATCTCCGTGATTTAAAAAAATTATCAAAGGTACCAGGATTATAATTTAATACGCCAGACGCGCGTTTCGTCTTCATAAGACTCATGAGTGACGCTCAGATCAAAATAATTATAAAGCTAAACAAGTACAAAGTTGAAGAGCATTGAGGACCCAAAATAGACGAGTGACATTTACCATAAAATTTTATTTTTAATGCACCCACCTAACATATGGCAAAATCATATACCATTCGAAAGCACATCATCTGTCCTATCTTTTTTGCCCGGTCGTCAAATATTCGTACGGTGCAATTTCCGTCAAATCACGATGAAAGGTCAAGGTCTTACTCTTTCTAATTTTACAAGATGTCAGCATTTTTGCATACTCTGTCTTCTGAATATATATATATATATAATGATATTGTGTATGGAAATATGAAAATCTGTAAGAACAGATGTTAACAGTCACTTACCAAACGCACTTAAAATATTAATGACGGATTTTTAATAAATAGCGCCGTTTTCCAGAAATTCCAGTAAAAATGATAAAATTGCGTTGAAACCAAAATGTTTGTCTGTTATTCAGTTGTTATTCACCATAGAACCAAATAACATATTCATTTTAGTTCTAAGGAAGTTTTTGACATCATCAAATTACTGCAATTACCCTTCATGCCAACTAAACAGCCAATTGTAGCGACTCGTGCAGTTGCCCAAAATACCACCATCTGCAAAAAGATAGCTATTTTTGCTGTTCTATGTTGACAAAATTTGTATGAAGTCAATATGAGATTAAAAAACTAAAATTTTAAAATTACAAAAGTGTTTAAAGGATATAATACACGCGGGATTCGTTTTAAGGGGAAAATTAGGAAGCACAACTTTGATATTTCAATATTTTTTTTTTTAGAAAACTTGTTTTTTTGTTGGCTTCTACTGCATCGTGAACTGACTAAGGAGGAAAAAGCTATTATAAGCTGGTAACTTAAAATTTTATTTGTGCCAATCTTATTAAGCTAGTTATTTCTTGAAATACATGTAAATTGACACATATTGCAAATCATTTTTTTTATTTGAAAATTCTAGCAGTTCGCTATAACTACACTTTAACTTCCTGAGTAGTTAAAATATAAGTACACTGTAGTATAAAGATGATTGATTGATTGTTGGTGTTTAATGCCACTTTCAGCACTATTGGCAACTAAATAAAATTAAGAATGGAAATGGGGAATGTGTTAAAAAGACAACAACCCGACCAAAAAGCAGAAAACAGCCCAAGGCCACCAATGGGTCTTCAACACAGCGAAAAAATCCTGCACCCGGAGGAAGGCTAAAGCTGGCCCCTAAACAAAAATGTGTACGGACGCCACACTAAACTCCGAAACATATAAATTAACTAAAATTTAAAAAAAAAAACATACAAGATTAACAAAGGCCAGAGGCTCCTAATTTGGGACGGGCGCAAAAATGCGGATACACTAAACAGGATGCTTGTTCAAATATTAACTTAAATAACTATGAAGAACATTTTCAAAATCTTAGTAAAGCTGAAAAATATGATAACTCTTTTAAAGAAAAAGTTAAAAAAGATTTAAATATGCTTGAGAGTACTTTAGAACATAATATTTGTACTGATAGTCAAATTTCAATATTAGAAGTAAAGAACTGTATAAAAGAATTGAAATTAGGGAAAAGCGCTGAACCTGACTTAATATCTAAAGAAATAATAAAATGTAGTAGCATTGTAACAGTTACAGCCATAGTTAAACTTTTTAATCTTATTTTATCATCTGGTATTTACCCCACCAGCTGATGGAAAGCTTTTATTGTTTTAATCCATAAGACTGGAGATAAAGAAGACATATGTAACTATAGAGGTATTTCTATTTTAAACTGTCTAGCAAAATTATATAGCTCTATTTAAAATAAAAGACTAATAAAGCATTATGAAAATAAGTTCTCCAGTCATCAATTTGGATTCCGTTCAAACCATAGAACGTCTAATAGCATATTTATTTTAAAAACTCTCGGAGGGGTTAAACATGTTTTGTGATATATCAACCCTCCCCTATACCTCTACCAAATGCAGAATAAACAAACACACAACAATACGCACAGTAAAAGTCAGTTAAATAGAAGTCCGAGTCCGATGTCAGAATAGGTAACTGACGAAACTAAGCAAAATGACGGTGATACATATATTAACAAAGGACTACAGCAGTTACTGACATGCCAGCTCCAGACCTCATATACCTTCATCATATAAAGTATTTTGTGGCGATCAGTTTTTATTGGAGGAGGAAGACGGAGTGCCCAGAGAGATCAACCGACCTTCAGCAGAAAACTGACAATCCCCGACAGTTATACATTAATTATATTTATTAGTATGAATAACGAAATTACTGTGTAGGTGTCACACAAAAATTCAAACAATCAGCATCAATGGCCTTTTGTTAAAGTAGACAACCTCTAAACAAACAAAGCAGTCTTGATGTAGATGTTGTAAATTACTACAGCTACATTTTACAAATAAATTTTCTTAATAAAACTGATATATAAGTATGCATTTAAACCACGTTTATTCTATATTCAATTGCCTATGGTTATGCATTGAAATTTAATTTTAAATGTACCACACAATATTCTCATTTAAGACATTCAGAAAACCAGTGCGCTATTTTCAAACAAGTGATAGGTTTAGCTTGCTATAAAGCCAGGTTAAAAGCACCATTTTATACACAAGGAAATGTAGTATCAAGTCAGGAACATGGCAGTTGTTTTCCATTTCCGTTATATGTGTTTGAGCTTTTGATTTTGCCATTTTATAAAGGACTTTCCGTTTTGAATTTGCCTTCGAGAACGGTATTTTTGTCATTTTACTTTTTAGTAGATCATCTGTCATGCATTGATTAAACATTTGCATATGTAAGAATGAGGCAGTCTCAAACCACAGTCATACTTTTTCGTTTGGGTTTCTAATGGTGCAAAGATCTCATAACAATAATAAGTGATATTAGTTGACATGAAAAAATAAAACATACAAAGTGGTATGCATAAGTGTAAATAACATGGGTTCAAACAATCTGATTTAAATTCAGATCTGTTAAAACTCGCATGCTAGTATATCAGATGAGGATAACAAAATCAGAGATCTATATTTTAATTAGATTGTGTTAAGATTATGAGATAGCTTACAAGCAGAGATGTAATTGTACATAAGAATTGCTTACTATTTAACTCTATTTGTTTATCATGAAAAAAATCCCTTTAT